TCATTGTTAGCGTTGATAAAGTGCATCGTGGGATTTATAGTTCCATCTAGGAAATGAACCTCTAGAGGAGTTATGCCAGAAGCCAGTTAAAACTCCATTCCCCAGGAAGTGCAAGAGGAAAATCTTTTAGCTTTTGCTGGGAGTATTCTTTTGTTTAATACCTTCTCTCACTGCTGTGCAAAGGTACTTTAAAGAAAACTAATTAAAAAAAATATTACAGTTTCAACTTCTTAATTCTACATCACAGAAACACTTTGACTGTTTCCTGTGTGTATACATGCTGCTGCTTTATTTTATTTTGAAATGCAGATGCTCATTCTGCCCTGAAAAGAGAATAGCTGTTCTTTGTGTGTTAGGGTCATAAAGTGTGTCAACAAACTGGCCTTTCCTGAAAGCTGGAGACCAGTTAATGAGGCACTCCAGCTATCATTATGGCCTGCAGGAGATGGTATACCACTTACCAAGAAAGAAGATTTGGGGGCTAATTAGGAAAGAGTGGCTGTGTTCAGCTGTGACACCTTGAATCCACAAGTACAGAGCAGAACTTCTGTGGAAAACTGTGACTGAAAAATTGATTCTCAGTCTTGTTTAAGACAACAGATTCAAAATGGTCAATGATCATGGGGTGCAAGATCATGTGGTATGTTGCTAGAAGGAGCTGATAAATAATCAAAAGAATCTTTGAAAATTGTTTTCTAGTGGCTTGTGCTCATTTGTGAAGAAGGCATGAGTAAAGTTGTGTTGGTCGTGCATGGCCTGGTTTTTGGTAGCAGGGGTCACAGAGGTGGCTTCTGTGAGAAGCTGCTGGAAGCTTCCACCATGTCCAGCAGAGGCAATCCCTGATGGGTCTGAAGATGGACATGCTGCTGGCCAAAACTGGCCTAGTTAGAGATGTTGGTAATACCTCTGTGATAACATATTGTAGAAGAAAATCAAAAAAAGGAGGGGGCACAGTGTTTTTCTGTCTGGAGGAGGAGCTGAGGACATGTGAGAGAAACAACCAAGGACAACGGAGAAGGAGGGGCAGGAACTGCTCCAGGCGCCTGAGCTGAGATTCCTCTGCAGGTCATGGTGATGACCATGATGAAGCAGGCAGCCCTGCAGCCTGTGGAGTTCCATGGGGGATGCAGAGATCCATCTGCAACCCATGTGGGCGGTGCCCACACTTGAGCAGGTGGATGCTTGGAGGAGGCTGTGATCCATTGGGAGACCGGGTGGAGAGAGGGGGTCCCTGCTTCCAGGCTGGAGCAGCCTCTCCTTGGAGGACTGTATCCTGTGGAAGAGTGCTGCAGCAGTTTTGGGAGGACTGTTTGCCTGTGGGAGGGACTCACGTTGCAGTTTTTTTTGGAACTACTGCTGCTCATGAGATTGGAACCACACTGGAGAAGTTCAGGGAGAACTGTCTCCTGTAGGATGGGATTTCACAGTCTCACAGGGGAAGGACTCTTCTCCCTGAGCAGTGGAAGATCTGGGGTGACAAACTGACTAAAACCTCCACCCCCTCTCTTCATGTGCTGTCGGTGGGAAGGACAGAGGCATTGGGGGGAAAAAAGTGTTTTTAAAGGCTTATTTTACTTCTCATTATCCTCCTCTGATTTTGTTAGCAATAAATTTACTTTGCAACTTTAACCTGAGCCTGTTTTACCCTTGGAGTGTTTTCTGGTCCTTATCTTGGCTCGTGAACACTTTGTTAATTTTTTTTCTCTCCTCTGCCCAGCTGTGGCAGGAGAGGGTGAGTGAGTGGCTTTCATGGGTGCCTGGAGTTTGGCCAGTGTCAAACCACAATGGTATTCTAGGTAATCATTCTAATTTCAAAGACTGACTTTTTGCTCTGGGAGGGACTGGAGGGATATAGTATGTGTGGATGGGAGGTGGTGAACATTCCTGAAGGGGATTAATTTTGAGGTGACTTAGATGCTTTGATCCTTTCCATCTGCAGGTTGGCTTGTTTTAGCTTGCTAATATAGGGATAGCAAATTCCCGCCTTCCTTTTATGTTTGGAAAATTGCTTATAGCCCACACATGACTCTGTAATTGGGGAGAGATTGTTCATTCTTGCCTGCAGGAAGACATTTCTCTGTCTGCTGACATGGAGTTCCAGACTAGATTGAGGGAATGCAAGAAGAATGTAGATGGGAAGCAGGGCTGCACAACTCCTAAGCTACAACTCTTGAAGGAATTGACAGTAATTGTCCAGAGCAGCATCATGTATTGTGCAGAATGAGGGAGGTAAAATTGCTCAGTAGCACTCTGAGCCTCCTCTGTGTCTCAGTGTATAATGTTGTGGTTGTCTGTAGTACTTGGTTACTGCATAGACACTTTAGTGAGTTTAGGAAAATTTTATTTATTGACAGTCCACAATAGTTCACTCTCATGAACATGTTTTTCTTGTTTATTTCAACTTCAGACCTCTTAATTGTGGGTAGGACGGATCATATACATTTAAATTACCTGAAAATAGACAAGGGGCTGGTGATAGCAAATTTTATGCTCTGCTTGCAACCAAACATTTTAAAGACTGTTAAGCTTGTTTTCTGTTGAACTTGTGTTGCCCTGCCTCCTCTCAAGTTGCTCTTTTAAGTCGAGATTTTCCAAAAGAATGAGGATTTTCTTTGCATTGTATTTTCTCAGAATTCTGCTTGGGTGCTTATCTGCAGGTAAGATAGTACTGGTTGGGTTACAGAGAGATTTAATCCCCTACCTCTTCCCCACCTCAGAAGACATTTAGGGAAGTTTTGTATGTGTGCATGTGTCCTTTGAAACTTTTTGTTTCTCTAAATTTACAGAAACTAGTAGCACATAAGTTAGAGTTCTGGCATGAGCTTATAGTGGTTTTTTAGTGGAATTTCCCCTAGTGTTGCTTCTACATTTAAAGATTTTAGGAGTTTGCTTTGGATTGGGATAACTCTTAGACTTTTTAGTATCTCAAGAATTTTGTTCAGAAATGTGTTTGACCAAGGTCATGTTCTAGGATGAAATAAATGTGGTCTGTCTAGCTTTGATTAGATGACTTACCTTGATGCTTTTGTCATTTGTGGCTCATTCTAGGTGCATTGAGGTCCTAAGGAAAGAATATTAAGCACTGTTCTCACCCACCTCACAGAAATTTTTTAAAAGAAACCAGGAACAGTTGAAACCTCCTGAACTCACAGTGACTGTCACCTGCTGGTAGCTGGGCTGCAGCTAACAGGAGACTGTGTATTTGAGGTTAAATTTGAGTAAACCAAATAAAGCTTTTTTTTTTTCTTGTATTTGAGAGATCTTGGGTGATACAGTAGTGTTAAAAAAAATTAAAAGAATTGGCAGTTTTGCCATCTGATACCATTTTTCAGGAGCAGTAAGTGGCTTCTATCAATTGAAATGCTTTTTTAAAAAATGTCTCTTTAAGAAAAGAAGCTGATGACTAAAGGAAGTTGAGTGAGTCAAAGAAAATGAACTGCACAATAAATGTGTAAAAATGAATTTACTTTTTTTTTTGAGGACTGTGTTAGGTATTAGCACCTATTATATGAGGAACTTTGGGGGACCTTGGAGGATAATGATTTGTTGCTGTCTCTGTAGAAGTATTTGCTTCTAGATTCAGATAGGTCAGTCAGTGGTGAAGAGGAAGCCTTAACATTGATCATGATGCAAGTAAGCATTGCATTAGTAGATTATAAATTATACAAGTTTATGCTGACTGGAATGCTTGGAAATGACTGCATGAGTTGGTCGACTAGAAGTCTAAACTTATTCTGATTCTACTAGAAATTTTCACTTGGATGACCTTGTACCATTCACTTTGCTTTCCTGAGACTGAGCTCACTGTAACACTGAGTTACAGGAATGAAATCTTAATCTCAGTTCAGGCAGCCTGATGTTTGGAGGATACTTCACATAAACCAAGAAGTCTCTAAAGGGTTGTCTTCTTTTCAGAAAGCACATTCAATCAGAGAGATAGTTAAACACAGCCATCCTTCAAGAGGCAGAGTAATAGAAAGATAATAAATTTTCTGCAAAGTGTTACTATGACAAGACATATCATTTAGTCTGAAGATGTCTGTCTGTACTCGCAGCACCTGCAAGCAGTAAGAGCAAAAAGGGCATCTATATGTTATGGTACAAGAATTATACAATTAATAGGTTTTGTATATGTGCATGTTTTGCATGGAAAAGATTAATTTGTCATGGTTGAGTGAATAGAATACAGTCGTTCAGGTTAATAAATTGCAGAATTTGGTTTTGCTTAACTTTAAAGAATTTTATCACTTATTCTAAGAAAAATACTTCGTCCTTTATTTGCTTGCAAAATAGTATTTCTTTGTTTAAAACTATCTGCAGTGGTATTGATGTCTTACTATCTATTCTATCAGCAGTAAACTTTGATTTCAGAGTTCAAATTGCCATCCTATAGAAACACAGTATGATTGTGACTGTATGGAGGATGTTGCGGGGACAGGTTGGAGTCTTGGGTGGACATGGTGAACTATGGTGTGTTAGGTTGTTCAAGGTGGTGAAAGAATAACTGGAAAGCAAAAAGGTGGACAATTAATTGCAGGTAGGGAAAGGTGACAGTTGCAGTCAGTGTAAGAACAGGCTGTGAACTGAACTTAAGCTGAACTGAAAACTGGTTTGAACAGCTGTCTGGCTTTTTGTTTTCTTTTACACGTTTCCCCCGGTGCCGCCACTCTTCTTTCTGCCCTCTGTAAAAAAATTCAGACCTAGTGGGATCTGATACAGGTTTGAAATAAAATGTTGCCTTCATCTCTGGTAATAACATAGGGAAGCTTTTTCAGATGCTTTGGTAAACATTTCTATTTCTTGTTTAACTGTTTTTTTGATGTACAGAGGAGAAATGAATATACTTAGAGCATACCTATGTGGCTGTGTAGGGGTTAAGCGCTATTTAAAAATTGTTTTAGTGAGGGGAAAAAGGTTTCTAATTGTTGTGAAGTATTTTTGGAATTTGCCCTGTCAGTTAGTAATATTTCACTAATTAAAGCAACCCTTTATTTAAAACAGGCTCACAACAGTTCATCTACAGAATTGGCTCGTGGGCAAACTGAGGTATGTTCATTCATCAGTGATTCAACATATTTTATATGCTGATGTTTCTGAAGTAATGCTTTTAACTTGGAAGAAGGTAGTCACATCTGTGCATTCCTTGTGGTTTCTCTACTGCTGAGGGTTGCAGCTTATAAAAAATTTTACTGCCTTACAATCTTGTGTGTAGTGAAAATTAACAAACAAAACAAGCATATAGTCACTAGGCTCTCTTTGGCTGTTAGTATCAGGTTTGTTTGGCAACATTAAGACATTATAAATCTTTGCTGAAAGAACATTGTGAAGAGGCAGTTCTCTCTTTTCCCCTTTCTCTTATGTACACTCTTGCTTGGGAGAACAGTGTGTGTTCTGACTGTAGTTTGCTCAATATGCTTATATGTGTTTGTAGAAAAGTGAGTTCTTGTTTAGAAATTCTACTTTTGCTGTAAAGGAAAGGGCAGGACATGGCCTATGTTGTACAGTGACAGTTGAAAAATTTTACGGCTTTTCCTGCCCTAAACTTCATTATACAAAGAAAATCACAAAATTCTAAAAGGTCAACATACAAATCTTGAGTAGCTAACTGTACACTTGCAGGTGGTGTTTTTCCAGTACTGCAGAAACACTGCGTTCTCTTAGTTGCTTTTTTTTTTGTCAAATAGCTTGCTGCTTGTTAAGAAGTCTACTTTGCCAGATAAAGATATTTTGAAAGAGTAGAACCTCTAACCATCCAGCTTTTTGGGTGAAATCTATTGAGTGATGAAGACCTGCTAATATTTATGGCTGGACTGAGACTTTGTAGCTTTTTTTTTGAAAGATTACCTCCTCTTCATTAACAGATGATCGCAGACCCACTTCAAGTTTTGACAAAACAATATTTGTGCTTTCCCTTCACAACATTTATAAAAAGACCAGCCTGCAGACCTGCCTTATCAACAGACCTGCAAACAAAGATGTCCAGGCAATAAAGATGCTTCACAAGTTTTAGTTGATCTTAATGGCAATATTGATACACTACGTGATATACTCTGTAATAATGAAAATGTTCCTGGAATAGTTGGATGTCAAAACTAACTAAGCCTTTTAAATAAGCATTCTGTGGTCTCACATGTTTTGTGTTATAAGTTTCCATGAAATTCAGATTTTGGCAAGTGTATCATGGGGCTATTGCTTTTTTAAATTGCTGTGATCTAGAAAATTACCTTATTTGAAGAATCTATTCTAGAAGTGCCTTCTATTATTTTTATGTGGGGCAGAAGGAGTAGTAACTGCTCTGATAATAGATGAAGCCCTCTAAAAGTGCACAAAAAGAAATCAACCTATGATAAAATAGAAATTATGAGGGCTTTAAAGGAAACTTTTTTTCTGAGAAACGAGTAAAAAAAGCAGAGTACTTTTCCAGTGTGCCAGTATGAAAGTACCCTTGGTGCTATAGATGTGAATGGAAACCGATGATCCCTGATGAAGTAATACCAATGAGACTGGGGAGTATTTGATAGGAGTAAGGGTTTGTGGAGCTTTGTGCTTGGTAGAAGGAAGAAGTTGGTGTTTCAAGTGGGTTCTTTGGGCCTTTGAAAAGGATCATGAAAATCAAGTTAAGCATGTGTGTTGGTGAGTTTTTCTTTACTTGCTTGTGATAAGAGGTTCTGATTTAAGTGCCAGAGAAATAACCGAGATAGCTATTTAGAAATTTAAAGCGCAGTTAAGCAACAGTTGCATTTTATGTAATTGTTTCTCTTGATGTAATAGTTAAACTATTTGTCCTTGGGTGAGTGTCCAAGTTAATCAGCTACAGAACATGCACTGTATAATAACTCCATAAATGTGTTTGATTTTGATTTCCACAAGAGCTTTAGGTCTTGCAGCTGAATGTGATCCTTGTACTTACGCCATTTTATGTTATTCTGGTTCATTCATATGGCAGAGGAGAGCAATTAAAGTTCCAAGCCTCAGGCCAGTAGCAACAAATCTTTTCCTGGCTGGATGAGAATGTACAATGGTCCCAGTTGGTTGCAGCCTACACCAGTCAGTGACCAGAATTTATGAAATTTGTCAAGATGGCTATTTTCCTGTACTCTTGCTAGAGCTAAACATTTGAATGGGAATAGCTAACTGAAAAGGTGGAGACCATTTGGACAGGCTGGCCAAGGGTGTTATCCTGTCTCCAGCCTGTGACTGATGTGACTGTGAAAATGATTATTAATAAGCTGGGAATAAGGTTAACTTAAATGAAATTCTTTCATGTGTTGAAATCTGAGGCTCAGTGGACGTAGGTATAGTTATGATTATTACCTTGCTATTGATGCATTCTTTTACCATAACATGGTACACTTTGCTGCTAAGTTTTTCTTTACTCTCTCAAATAGAGGTAAGGGTTGAACCTTGCTGACACGGTAAGTGCTTTCCCTTTCTGTGTGGCAGAGTGTGAGTGAATCTTGTGCTCAGCATGTCTGCCAAAGCCTGAGCAGCCTGCTTTCCATACTACTGGTTCAGGTACCAGAGTGCAAAGGATGGTTAGAGCTGGAAGCAGTGTGTGGATTGGAAGAGGAGCCTTATTTTGCTGTTTGTCACAGTGAGCAATGTGTCTGTTACCATCAGGCAAACCTTGATTTCTCCTTAGCATTTTTAAAAGTAGTTATGCATTATGAAAATGTTGTCGTGTTATGAATAGTTAAGAATGTTATGAATGTTATGATAGTTTTAACCAGGAAGTTTTAAGACTAGTGCTTGCTGGTTTTTGTTTGTTTGGGTTTATTTTTTGCGTGTCATTCATGTTCTTCAGTAAAAATACAAACTTACCTAGTACCTGCACTGTCTCAAAGTTTCCTCTGATTTGGTGAGTGTGGGTTCTGTATATTATCTGTGGTTAGTAGCAATAAGGGAATGTGTTCGAGGCTTTGATCCAATATACAGCTTTAACATGAAATACTTGTGTTCAGTGGTTGGTATCACCAATCTTATAATATCAAAAATAAAAAAAAAATAGAAGGTATGCAAAATCTACAGTTGCAAGTACAATGTTTTTCATCAGCTTGTGTTTTCAAAGACCACACAAGAACACCAGAATAAATACAAAATATATGACTAACCACAAGTTGTCTGCTCTCCAGTGAAATTAATGAATTTGCATTCTAGAGCAGGATTGAGTAAACATTTCTGAGTTTTGGAGTGGCACTTATCCTATACAATTTTTTGTAGAAGTCTGTGTAAATATTAGTTAGATTCTGAAACCTGAAAATGGTTGATTATAACTTGATGGAAAAAAATTGTCAAGACTTTGGTAAAAGCAGCAGGAAAAAGTGAAACTAAATGTTATGAAAGAAATTAAACTTTAACCAACAGTGCACAATGGAGATTTTAATTTTATACATGAGGTTCTCTCCTCCTTCCTAAATTACTGAATAAAAAGTTTTATAAGCCAAAAATATTGAGTCTTCATGTTTAATGAAATGCAAAAAATGTTTCTATTTTAAGTTGGTACATAAAATACATTGGTTTAGATTACCATTTGGAAGAGTCTTAACTACATTAAGTAAGATAAATTTATAAGAAGAGGAAATGGATAAGGACGTAATTCCAGGCATACACACATAGTGTTGTTTTCAGTGTGAGTTACTATCATTAGTGCAGATGGTAATCTGTGTAGGATTGCTTGTTTAGCTGGAGCTGTTTACACATTGAAGCAGGAGCATTTGGAATACCACTACTTCTGACCTAGAGGAATAAATTGAAGTACCTGCTTTGGTGTGGAGAACATAGGTGTTGAGTGAAGATATTTTGGCCACAGATGCAGGTCTGCACTCTGTTTCTTGCTTAGTGCAACTCCAGCCTTTCAGAGTATAACAGCCAGGTAGACTTCATGCAGTCATTCATACTTTATTTTTCAGTAGGACCTATGAGCCATGCTGATAGTCTGGGTTAAAAGAAAGTAGGTAAATAAGGATAATGTGTGAGGAGAGGAGGAAACTGAACTGAGATTGCCATTTCTTCATCCTGCTGAATGCTTTTAAGGAGATCTTCCTGCAGACTTGGAAATCTTGTTATCTTCTGCTTTTGAAGATGTAACAACCTGATTGATGACCTCCCTGATAAATGCACTTTCAGTGTTTATGCTTCCTTAGTACAGCAGCTGCTGAATGCACATACATATGTGGTGTGCAACTGTTAACTTCCTTAACTCTGTGTACTTCTATCCTGGATGCTGATTTTTTTTCTGGAGGATAGTGGGTAGAAAAGATATATCTGAAAGATACCACTTCTGTGCTGCACACATTACCTGCTTGAAGTGCTAAATTGGATGTGTGTTAGTGTAGCACACTTGCCTCAAGCAGCAGGATTGTCAGGGTAGGAGAGAAAAGCTGTGAGCCTAAATGAAATGGGTAAAAATATTCACTTTGTTAGTATCAGTAATATTTCTTCTGCTTCTTAGTCACCAATTTAGTGACATATGCCTTCATTCTTCTTAGGTATTTTTTTTCTGGACAGTGTTTTGACACATAGCTGCTTCTGTCTGTCCTTTTTCTAGTGCAGGTCTGACCTCTTTTGCTTTCTCTCCTTTCTTTGCAGAATTTAGTAAATTTTCTGATTGTTCCTTGTCAGATTGTTCCAGGTTTGCTTATTAAATTTCCTTGGTGTTTCTTTATTTTTTTTAAAATTATTGTTTTGCTTGTTTTTAATAGCTGTTTCTTACCACATCAGAAATTGCTACAAGAGAACTCTTGGTAGCTCTTTGGTATTTGGCCTTGTGTCTGCATTATGTCACAAGGGGGTTAGGTTGCACATTGCTGCAGTCCTTTGTTGCTTCTGGAAACAGGCTCATTAGGGACAGTCAAGACAGAGAGAGGAAACATGCGTGTAAGCTCAATGTGTTTGTGTACCTGCAAGAATTCATCTGCAGTGGGAAAAAATTTGATTGGAGAGTCTATGTGTAAGATGATTTAAAAAAAAAAACCCTGAAACATTAGCTGGCAGCATTTCAAGGGTAGATGCCTGATGTATCTGAATTTTAACTTTTCTTATGCTCT